ACCACAAACAACACCCCCCCCCCCCCCACCATTAAGAAAAAAAATGATAGTAACTGTAATTACGTAAGCATCAGCTGCTGAGGCCTGGAAACAGTTGGCAGGTGCGGCATCCACCAGTGACAAATGAATGCTTCCCTCCTTTTACCCATTAGGGGAAAAAAAAACAGGTAAATACTGTCGCTACTTATTAGTTAGCTGGAGAGCTGATGAAGTTGTCGCTGTGTGTGCCATCCGCCTTTGGCCACTAAACACCACCCTTGATTAGGTGCCTCCTTTTTCCTATCAAGAGGGGGAAAAAAATGCTTCAGTTTAACTCTTCACAAACAGCCAGTGAAGAGTTAGTGGTTGAGCCCAACAAGTGTGTGCCGCTTGAGGCATCCACTTACGATTAGTAAACGCCTCCCTGAAACAGACCCTGCAGTGTCAAAAGTCCTGTACTATTATATTCAAAACAAACAAACAAACAAAAAAAGCAGGTGATTAACAATTAGCTTCATTGCATTTCTGTTTGATCTGAAATCAGATGGCAGCTCATTTTCGCTGGCATGGATTTTTTTTTTTCCCCCCATCCGGAATGAAAACTATGTCTTTTCTAACCAACTCTGGTATTAACATCCATCTCAACATTCCCAAACTCGAACACATGCACCAAAAGTGGGGGAGGAGGTGAGCAGTGATCCAAATAAGGACATGTGCTGCCAAAACATCTCCACCACGTTGCTTCTCCAGAAGCATTTGAGAAGTTTATATTAGGGAGGGGAGGGAGGTGGGGAGGGTTGCAGATTATGTTGTAGACTCGAGTAAGGGAGGAGGGAAGAGGGGTGGACATGTCGGGGTTGTCACTGGGGAACCGAGGTTGACTCCACTTTAAATCACACACAGCTCCGGCGGACCTTCACTCCGTGCATCCTCCCCTTCGTCCTCTGACGAGCTCCTCTCTCCTCCTCTCTTGTCGCTTCTCTCTTTTCTAGCTCCTCAGAGCCCTTCGCAATCTATTTTCCCCCCCACTTGACTGACGCCCGAAAGCCCGACAGACCCGACGCCATGGAGGCCATCAAGAAGAAGATGCAGATGCTGAAGTTGGACAAGGAGAACGCCTTAGACCGGGCGGAGCAGGCTGAGACGGACCAGAAGTCGGCGGAGGAGAAATGCAAACAGGTGGCTTTAACTTCCTGCTCGATGTTCTTTGCTCGGAGCGTATTCATTGCGGTCTTACAACAGAAGATATTAGAAGTAATGTTTCGCAAAATCGCAGCGATTGATACCGCCCTCAAATAAGGCGCCCCTTGATCCATTCAGAACCAAAATGTGTCGTGACTCTAATTATGGCACTTCGTAGACACTGTTGCTCATCCCGTTAAATAGTCGTCGGCATCGTTCACAAATGAAAAATAAATGCGTGACTCACATTTTGACGCCTCCCTTTTCACATAAAAAAAAAGAACAGTGTGTCTGTAATGAATGCAGTTCATGGACGCTATTGGTCACACTCAGTCGTGAAAACCGTCGTGGTTGCGTGCATCATCTGCCACAAATAAAACCCCACTTATCTCATCAGGTCAAAACAGGTACCGTAGTAACACAAATGTCTTCAGTTGACACATTGGCATTTAAGAGCAAACACGCGCCTCCCTTTGGCTATCAGAAAAAAAAAAGGCGAGTAACTCTAATTACTTTTGTTCATAGACACGATTGTTCCCACGTCGATGTGAACATAGCACGAAGCACCCATGCCCATGAGCCCGTAAAGTGGTTGCGCAGGGCTTCACCCTCTTAAATGAAGGCCTCCCTCAAATAGATCCTTCTCCGTTACATTTGAACGGCAGAACCCGGCGAGGCGCGCAAACAGCCTCTCAGATTAATTACAGCGTGGATACTTAGCACATTTTGTGAACGATTAGCATGGCCATCGAAGTTCCTGGTCGACTGATACGCTGTCAACTCGCAATGTTGCCTGCGCCTCCCTTTGACGAAAGGCCACTCGATAGGAGCAAAGTGGAACGTGGAGATGTAAGATTATCTCCAAGGTGGCTAAAAAAAGACAATTACTGCTCGGTGGGAGACGGTGTCAACACAGTGGTGTGTCAGGAATGACAGAGATTCGCCAACAAAGCCAGGAGCTTCCATTAAATCAAGTGGAAGCCCCCCTCTACCTTCTTAAGGGAGCACTCAGTTGCCCACCGAGCTCATCTTCCACATTGGGAAGAGTCAGCATGAAATTCTAGACGACGGAGCGTTTGTTTGCGCTTTCTTAGCTATTCTTGGCCAGACTCAAGTGTGCGGCGGATGACAAAATACGGCATCGGCGTCCGCCAGCTGCAGTTTGGCCACGTTCCTCACGGAGGGTCTACGCCAACGGAGCCGGACCCCACCAAAGTCCTTTCATGAACCCACTGGATGTTCTGCCACGTTGGCAGTGTGGATCTGTAAGCACTATTAAACCAGAATAGCACACTGACTAGGGTGCAGACCTCCACCAAGGCCAAGGCAATCGGCCACTCGCAGCTCTGGAAGTGCAGCTCCATCTGGTGGGTCTCTGCCCAGCTCGGCCCCTGATGCAAGTGGGCTGGAACCGTGAAATGAGACAAAAAATGTTTGCGATCCCCAACTTTGAAAGTAGAACTTTTTTTTTTTTTTTATGACTGTATTATCTAAAACAACAGCCATCTCTCGAAAATGAAGATGTAGTACTCGGGTTCATCGATGTTATTGTTCGTGCCAGTACAATGAGTTGATGACTGAGCACATTAACTCGTTACCGGGTGCCTCATCCACTAAAAACAAAGAAACACCTCCTTCTAGTACAGTGCTTCTTAACCTTGTTGGAAGTACCGAACCCAACCGGTTCATATGCGCATTCACCGAACCCTTGAAAAACAAGAATATGACTCTTTCCAAATTCAAGACATAAAAAAATGCATTTATTAAAAAAAACAGAAAAAAAGTTAATCAAATTTCAAGACATAAGTATGCGGGTTTTTTTTGTTTGTTTTTTTTATTACGACAGTCACACGTTGACAACTGAGCGAACAAAATTTCCCGCAGCACTGATTGGACAAGCGTTGTTATGTGATCATCTGCAGCCAGTGATGGCCAAGCGGGCGTGTCATAACTAATTGATATGTTGAGTCGGGTATGTCTTTACCTCCATGGCAGAGGCTCCGTCGAACCCCTGAGACCTAATTCACCCCTGCGGTGCAATCGAACCCAGGTTAAGAACCACTGTTCTAGTAGATGGTTCCCTTTTCTCATCAGGAAGGAAAAAAATCCCGAGACACTATGTTAGGCATTACAGAGTTCATTGCTGAGACCGTCAAGTAGTTGCCTGTTGCCTCACGGTGAGCCGATTTGACCGTTGATGCTTCCCAAAACAGCAGCACCTACCAGAGCGCGAAAGCAGCCGCCGAAGTTTACCAAGTGTGGGCTCTTACTGTGTGTTGTAAAGTGTTAAAGATGAGCTCATGTCAAATGTGGTGACAATGACTTTTACGACAAGTCGGGCTCCAGTAGACTAACAGGCGCTTCCTCCACAATGTTGTGATTTTTATATCGCAGGGCGCTCTGCCACTTTTGGGTTCCAAAAATCTGCCTTGTTCTTTGCCGTTTTGCAGCATTTCCGTTTTCAACTTCTCTTTCACTTGACGTCAATTGAAATACTGTATACCCCAAGCAGAAGTTTAAAATAAGCCCCGCCCCCCACATACATTTACACTTGATAAAATCAATGCTACACAAGTAATTGAATAATTTCATCTTCTGACATAGTCATAACAGAGACATTCAAAAATTGTAAGATATTGGCAATATCCTTCTTTCTCACCAACAAGATATGAGGGAAATATGCCAGAAAACCTGACATCCTAAAACATGACTTTATTTTTTCATACATCTTGTAATAGTGACATTTTTCACTATTATTCCCCCAAAATAGTCTGCTTGCCCCAAATAGATTCCAACAGATTGCAACGCAGCGTGTGCAGTTGATTTAAATAAATGCTACACAAATAATTGACCTCAATAATTTTCCCACTCTTGCCACCCTCAAAACCCCCAAACAAATTATTCATTGTAAGATGCTTATGGTATTGTTTCCCATTATGAAAAAATAAAATAGATTCCTCGGCTCTAATAGATGCCTCCCCCTTCACAGATAAACGTTTACAGCCACACACACACACACACACACACAAAAAAAATCCCAAATATCATCTTATTGTAAAAATAAATACAGTAAATAAATAAATAAACAAATAAAGAAATGCCTCCCAGATCTGCAGTTGATGAAATAAATGCTCAACTATTTCCACTTCTGACATTGACAATGCATAAAAATAGATAAATACTACCAGTGAACAGTATCTATTATAAAAAAAAAAATAAAATAAAGAAATTAAAAACAAAAAAACTCCCTCATCTGCAGTTGATCAAATACTTTATTATTCCTGTTGTTTCACAGTAAAATACAACAACTGTACTTTTGGGAGCAACCCTGCTCCTTCTCAACCTCTTCCTGCCTTATGATGTGATGACAGATGATTTCGCTCTGGTTTCGTTCGCGGCTGAGTGATCCACAGTAACACCTGACTGACGTTTCAGCTGGAGGATGACCTGCTGGCTCTGCAGAAGAAGCTGAAGGGAACAGAAGATGAGCTGGACAAAGACACAAATGTGTTTTCCTCTGCATACTCATTCTCCACTAGTTTATACTTAGCAGGACTCTCCAACGATATGCTCCCAAGGCAATCCTGTGGCTTTTTGGGGGAGTTTTTGCCCATAAAAGGAGAAGAGGAGTTCAGTCGAGCTTTCCTGTGGGAGGGTTCCCATTTCGAGCACTCTGCATCTGATTCCCTTCTCTCCTCTCTTGTGTGTTCCAAAGGCCTCTTCGTCTTCATGCGGGGATAACACAACAGATGGTGTGAAATTGCGGAATATCTATTGTCAAGGGTCATTCTTACGTGAAAGAGTTTTGTCAAAGTTGCGTGAATGTGTGTGTGTGTGTGTGTGTGGTGTGCTGGCGGCATCCTGAGGGACCAAATAAGGCGCTGCGCTCATGATGTGACTTCATGTTTAAGTGCGTGAGCTTGTGCCACTGATATTTATGACTTCATGTTTAGTTAGGAGGAGGTCCTCAGGCAATATTGTCGTGCCAAATGCCTGAAAACCAAACTCCGCGCAAATGTCCAGACACGCCGTTGCAGAGAGAATCAAGCTTTTGCATCTTTTTTTCCACGTGCAATGTAACTACCGTATGGACTGCTCTTGTGTGTCTTCTGCAAAGCAGTTGCCAATTTATGACTATTTTTACTGACGTTTTTATTGGATGCACAGTATAATACGGCACCCTATTGTTTCGATGTCTCTGACGCACGTGTCATTGTCAATCCAAATATAGACTCTTTATTGATCCATGTGCAGTTTTCTTGGCACCTTCAATGCTGCTGACTACTCTTGCTGCGATTTACTTCGATGTCTACATAGATTTAATGCCATAGTATTCCATTCATGTATTATTCATCATTTAATCCGTGCTAATATGCGCAAAATGTACTATTTATTGATACACAAAAGGCTTTTTTTGCTTCATATAATGCTGCTGACTGTTCTTGCGCTTTTTCACATTCACATCTGGACATATTGCAGGCTATGGTATTTCATTGACGCATTCTTATTTATGTAAAAAAAAAAAAAAATCCATGCTTCTATTTTAAAAAATTCTTGATCCATGTATAGATTTATCCATCCATCCAGCTATTATCTGAATTGCTTCATCCTCACGAGGGCAATGCTCAAGCCTATCCCAGCAGTAATCACAAGTGCCTTTGGTTGTCTGTTGATTACTATTTTTTCTTTTTATTTGTTTATATATTTATGTCTTTAGGTCATTTTTATGCAGAAAAAAAGAGTTAAAATAATCAATTAATAACATAGAAACATCTCATGAAGAGATGAAAAGGAAAGATGGAGAAGCCATGCTAATTGCTCCATAAGATTGAGACGTAACGAATGAACACCAAATCCATTCTTTAAAATCCAATATTTTGTGTAACGCGAGAGGAGAAATTGTTCGAATTGATTCTCAAAGGCGACGACAGGGTGAACGCAAGTTGATATTGAGATATATCGCTTATATGGTCACTGGTCACTTTTCTTATGAGCTT